GTAAAAACTGAGGTGAAATATTCATTTAGTATTATCCCATCTCCTGGGGTTCAACACAAAGTCAACCTCCTTGATCTTTAAGAGGCCCTACCCTCTCTCTTGTTACCCTATTACTCTTAATGTATTTGTAGAATCTCTTTGGATTATCTTTAACCTTATCTGCCAATGCTACCTCATATCCCCTCTTTGCCTTCCTGATTTCTCTCTTAAGAATGCCCCTACACTCTTTATATTGATTAAGATTCAATTGAGCCAAGCTGCCTGCATCTAAAAAAAATTCTTTTTTTAGTCTTGGCTAGAACCTCAATATCTCTATTCATCCATTGTTCCTTAATCTTACCAGCCTTAACCTTCACTCTAACAGGAACAAAATGCCTCTGAACTCTCGTCATCACACTCTTGAATGCCTCCCACTTGTCAGACATCCTTTTACCTGCAAACAATCTACTCCAATCAATTTTTGAAAGTTATTGTCTCATACCATTTGAAAACCTTAACTTTTATGGAATGCTTATCCTTTTCCATAATCATGTTGAAACTAATAATCACCATATTAAACTCTGGAACCTGCTGCTCTTTCTTCTTTGTTTTAACCAGTCCAAGGAAGAACCTTTACCCACCTGACAATGAGACAAACTGAGAGTGTTATCTATTCTTTCAAAAAGCACAGTTCAACTTCATATGCAATCACCACATTTTCTGTTTAATTTCAAATTGGCAACATCCATATATTTTCTTCTCCTTGGTACTTTAAAGCGATCTTTCCCTGATTTTGTAATCTTCTCCCATTCACCTTTCTTCCAGACACAGGTCAATGTGTATTTCTCAACAATCTTGTTTATTTTCCATTCATTTTTCTAAGTATTCTTTTCAGTTGCTAATATCTATATAGCATGTGGCTACTTTATGCAATGAGGGAAGTCAACGCTGAAGGCAAAGGGGAGGCAATGGCCTCGTAGTATTATCGCTAGGCTATTAATCCAGAAACCCACGTAATGTTCTGGGAACCTGGGTTTGAATCCCACCACAGCAGATGGTGGAAATTGAATTCAATAAATATCTAGAATTAAGAGTCTAATGATGACCATGAATCCATTGTCGATGGTCGGGAAAATCCACCTGGTTCACTAATGTCCTTTAAGAAAGGAAACTGCTGTCCTTACCTGGTCTGGCCTACATGTGACTCCAGACTCATAGGGATAGGCAATAAATGCTGGCCTGATAGCGACGTCCTCATCCCATGAATGAATAAAAGGAAAAAAAAGACGTTGTCCAAAAAGAAGTTCAGCAAGGCTTTTGACAAGATTCCGCATGGTAGACTGGTTAACAAGGTTAGATCACATGGAATCCAGGGGAAGCTAGCCAATTGGATACAAAATTGCCTTAAAGGTAGGAGATAGAGGGTGATGGTAGAGGCGTTTGGGGAAGCTAGCCAATTGGATACAAAATTGCCTTAAAGGTAGGAGATAGAGGGTGATGGTAGAGGCGTTTTGTTTTGGACTGGAGGCCTGTGACCAGTGGTGTTCTGCAAGGATCGGCGCTGGGTCCACTGCTTTTTGTCATTTACATAAATGATTTGGATGTGAACATAGGAGGTATGGTGAGTAAGTTTACAGATGACACCAAAATTGATAGTGTAGTGGAGAGTGAAGAAAGTTATCTCAGAATATAATGGGAACTTGATCAGATGGGTCAAATGGCCAAGGAGTGGCAGAAGGAGTTTAATTTAGTTAAATGTGAGGTGTTGCAATTTGGTAAGGCAAACCAGGGCAGACTTATACAGTTACTTGTAGCGTGCTCAGGAGTGTTGCTGAACAAGGAGACCTAGAGGTGTAGGTGGATAGTTCCTTGTAAGTTTAGTTGCAGTTACACAGGGTGGTGAAGAAGTTGTTTGCCATGCTTATCTTCATTGGTCAGTGCATTGAGATAGGAGTTGGGATATCATGTTGCAGCTGTACGGGACATTGGTGAGGCCACTTTTAGAATACTGTGTTTCATTCTGGTCTCCCTGCTATGGGAAGGGTGTTGCTAAACTTAAAAGTGTCCAGAAAAGACTTACAAGCATGTTGCTGGGATTGGAAAATCTGAGCTATAAAGCAGAGGGTGAATAGGTTGGAGCTGGTTTCCCTGGAGCATCAGAGGCTGAGGGGTTACATTACAAAGGTTTATAAAATCATGAAGGGCATGGATAGGGTGAATAGCCAAAACCTTTTTTCCAGGTTGGTGAGATCAAAACTGGAGGGCATAGATTCAAGGCAAGAGGAGCAAGATTTAAAAGGGACCTGAGGACCAACTTTTCATGCAAAATGTGGTGCGTGTATGAAAAAAAAAATGCTAGAGGAGGTGGTGGAGGCGGGTACAATGACAACATTTAAAAGGCATCTGGATGGGCACATGAATAGGAAGGGCTTAGAAGGATGTGGGCTAAATGCTGGCAAATGGGTCTCGGTCAGATTGGGATGTCTGGGTGGAGCGGATGAGTTTTCAGGAACGGTCTATTTCTGTGCTGTATAACTCTATTCCTCTACTGCTTTTGGTTCTATATGCACAGCAAATTCTGCCTGAAATATGTCAAATAATCAATGCGAAAGAATTACATATTAATGGAAAATGTTAAGACATATGGTGTGTTCAACCGGGAGCAATCATTTATCAACAGTCTATGGACTGATAGGTCATGGGGCCTCATTACTGTGATTTGATGTATAATGAATCATCATTTCCCTTCAAGAAAAAAAATGATGCAAATTCTTCAGAGAAAGGGAATAGATGGATCTTGTGAGATCATTGGAAGATACTGTAGTGATCAGTCTTTTTGGATAGCAGTCTTGTTCGACTAAATAGTTTCTTCTTATTCCCCAAATCCCTCAGCTTCCTCCTAAGTATTTAAATAGATGTATCTCAAATGACATGTTGCTCAGCTGGCACAACTCATCCCTTTCCCAAAGACCACACCTAAGACATTTAAACTCAGGCTCTGAACAAACCTCTTATCTAATGCACATCATCTTACAAAGCATATCAGTGTGCCTCACCTAACATAAAATACTCCTCATCTGCTGCAACACGTGTTTTGTCTAAAGCACTTCTGACACAAAATAATGAATCTGCATAATATAATTTGGACTCATTTTCTGGTAGATTTTTCAGATCAGGTATAGACTAAATGACCATTTAGATAATTTTCCAAATATGGCAAAATATTGTGAGCTTTGCAATATATTAATTGGACTTTAAATTGGAATTTCACAACTTGTCATGACAATCTACTGCTTTTATTTTCCATAAGTCATTTTGTGTCCTTCAAAATAATTCTCAACAAATTTATATACACATTTTGTAACGTGTTTCCATTGTAGCCCCACCCCCTATATTTCACAATTCTGTGTCAGTAATCTGCCTCTGCTCATGATCCCACTGGATGCATGCTTGACTAAGCTAATAATCCTCATCATTAATAAGATGTAGATGCTGCACTGTAAAGATATTTAAGGAAATAATTATTCTATTGAACAGATATTTTTATTTGTTTGTGATGCTTTATCGATATAAAATTAACACTGTTGAGTAATTTTATTCTAATCAGTAATTCCTTTCACAAGTTGCTTCATTTTACTGAGACTGTGCAGGTTTCAGATGTGACCCAACCCAGCCCTAGCTAGCTCGGCAAACAGCTTGACAAATGAGGCAGTCCAAATCCACGCATAGATCCCTAGTGGTTAACTGAGAGGCTGCATTTGCAGCACAGAGCCTCAGCTGTCTTCTCAGACATTTCTCTCTTCCCAGCAGCAAACGCATGACAACCACATTCTATGGCTGTGGCCAGCTCCCCTTAATTTACAATTGTTACATTATTTGCAACCAAACAGAATTGCAAATAAGTACCACCTATTGGCATACACAATACACTTCAAAAAGCTCTTAAAGTCAAAAATCATCTTCCCCATTTCTATATTTTTATGGACATACATGTCCAATTGTCTGAAGTCTGTGTTAAGTAGTGACATATAAATGTGAGATCCAAACTCTGAATCAAAATTTCAGCATAACACTGAAGGTACCAATGAATGAAAAAATCGTTAAAGCACTCAAACTTCCACTCCTGCCCCAGTCAAATGAGACCTAAAGGCCTGTACAATACACATTTACTGCCTCTCTTTGTAAGCATACCATAAAAAATTGAATGTCTTATATTTCACAAAATATCACTTACAACTAAAAGATGTGCTTTCTTTTCACAATGCATATTATTACAATGAAGACTTTGCACACACATCTTGCAAGATAAAATATAAATATTTCTAACATCCATTTTAATATAAACAATTCAGAAAATAATTATAAAATGAATATTTAACCACCACAGAATTAGCATTATCTCATAGATTTTTACCTACCTGAATATATTCTAATTTACGTTAACGTAATCCGTAAAAAAAATTGTAAAAATTAATGCAATGAAAGGCTAGCCTAAGGCTAAAGCCAAACAAGAATTGAGCTGCTGGCTGCAGGATAAATTTACAACAATCAACAGCACTTACAATATAACACTCAGCTCTTTGGTGTATGGAAAGCTTATGCCTACACCATTGCTCCCTAGAATGAACAATATACGATAGCATAAGAGTGTGAAAACACACAATTATTTCTGGCATTAATGAAACATTTTTGGATTGTGCAACATTCTTAGCCTTATTTTTACACATTTTGTCAAACTAGTTAAGATAGATTTTCTAATAATATAAGAAAAAAGTTCAAAAAAAACAAGTTACAAAGGCTCGAGTCTGTACATTAGGAATCTAGGCCTTCATCTTATTCCCATCTGCAGAATACAGTCTATTGATGCGGCAGCCTCCCTCACAAGATTTGAATAATACCAAACACAAAGAAAAAAATTTCTGGAGGCGTTTCTGCCACAGCGCATTGGAGTTCAATTCTGAAGTCTGAGACGATCACCAATTGTTATTTTTTAAAAGTAATCATAACGGTAAAGAACTTACCATTTCCTTTTATACCATTTTTCCTTAGGTTTGTTCGTAGCTGTAAGGATGCGCTAGGAGGTGTCTCGTTTGACCTGCTGCATGCTGCTATGACATCAGTCAGATGATACAGTTCATTATGGGAAAGACTACTGTTGCTATGGAAACTGAGATGTGATGTGAATTTTTACTGCAAGCCCATTGGCACTTAGCACGTTAAGGGACCACCTTGTTCTATAAGACTTTGGCTGGGCACAACAGTTTTCTATAATAGGGGAAACTGAGAGAGAACTGCCTTACAGTGCAACTCTTTCTGAAAGTCAGAACATTTCACTTGTAACATGGAGTAATTACTGCAACAAAGCAATACTGCAGTGACAATGGGAAATGTGCTTCCTTGGAAACGTGAAAGAAAGAGAAAAATTTTAATGTAGTAAAAGAAGTATTTGATTAATTAATGCAATCTAAATTAATTTCCATGACTTGAAGGGTACAGTTTAACTTTTTCCACTGCCTAGGACACTAGCACAAGTCATTTGACTGTTGTCATACACGTAGATAAGAAATCTGCTGGGTTTATATAACAAGCAACCAACTGATGGTGGCCAAAAATGGTTTTTCATTTGGAATCCACTGCCTGATAGGATGATGGATGTATCTATTATAGCCTTCAAAAGGGACTCCTATAAATACTTCAACAAAACACTTGTACTGATGGAAGGAAAGAGAGAATGAGTAAGACTAACTGGATTAGTCCAGAAATCAGTTGGTGCAAACTTGACTGGCCAAGTGACCTCCTTCTATGCTCTACTACGTTATGGTTCTCTCATTCAATGATTTCCTTCAGTACTCTGACTACTGATATCCTGAAAAGAGGTCTCTTACTCGATGGTTTGCTTCAAGCAGTTGTCCCTTTAATGTGCATATCAAAGCTGTGTCACAGATAGATGGCCTCCAATCACAATTTCCATTGATAACTTGTTGGACCCAGATTTTCCCAATGGTGCGTGAGGAGACGCTCAAAATGGAAAGTTTAATATTATTGTTTTGAATCAAGAGGAGCAGAGGTACCCCTTCAGTTTCACTAGGATACTGCCAGAAGACTTCAACAGTGGGATCCTCCACTACAAAACAGAATACCTGGCCAGGAAGGAAGTGTGACACATCTTGGCTGAGACTGTTGAAACATTCAGTGACTTTACTGCTATACGAGGATATTCTAGAGCTTGATTTATGATACCCAACATCAGTTATACCGACACATTCTGTCCGAAGGAGGATGTTAGAGTATTTCGACAAAATTGTTATTTGCATATTTTGTATTATTTGGAGTTTCTACTTTATTATTATGCTCAGTTTTTTTTCTGTGCCACTATCTATTTTGCCTGTTTTATATAGTTATCATGTTTTGAATGTGGTGTCACTTTCTTTGATATATTTTAATATCTTCAAGTTGTGATAAGATAGTTCAACAGTGGGTCCAGTTGATTTGAAAGGAAATTTTGGACCAGGTCTTCATGTTTCCAGATAATCGAGGCTGGTGGAATCCCTCAGAAGTCCTAATGCAAACGCTATGTAGTTATTGCTCAGGAAATTTTAAATTCCATTTTGGATTCTCTCAGCATTTGTGAGCTGAAAGCCTCAAAAACGTTCCCAATTCTGACTTAGGGTCATGGACTTCAGAAGGTTTGTACCTTCTTCTGTTAATAGCTAGTCAGGAAAAGTTCGAGGATTGAAACTTGCTCTCATCCCTGGCTAACAATAAAACTGATTTCTTCTCAACTCACCAGAGGACACCAATTACTCACACTGACCTATCTATCACTCATGTAGACCCATCAATGACTCACACTGAATCACCAGACCCCCAGACACCTGCACGCGCACACACACACACACACACTCTCACGCACACATACATGTGCACACACACACACACACACGCACACACACAAACACACACATGCAAACACACACACACTCTCTCTCTCTCGCTCACACACACGCGCGCACACACACATGCGCACACGCACAAACACACACACAAACTCTCTCTCTCATACACACACACACGCGCGTGCGCATGCACACACACACACCCCCCCGACTACCAAGTGACTTCCACCTCTTACACCTCATCCCTTCCAAGACACCCAAATTCTCTTATCTATTTATCTGCCACCCTAACCCCTCACACATCTGTCATCCTGCATCCCCCAGCCCTTTATCCACATTCCACACCATCTCCTTCCCTATTTACCTGCCACACTACTCTCTCTCTCTTTCTCATTTACCTTTCACACACTTGCCTTTTCATAATAGTTATCAAAGACATCCGTGCTGAAACCAAGACCCTTGTGTGATCCTTCTAACTCTTCTACATGAATCCAAAAATTGGACTATGTATAGGCACTACCTCAAAGCCCTAAAAAGTACCATCAACGTTGTTTGAGATGGATTCTCTGCATCACTTGGATGACAGGCATACTAACATGAGTATCCTTGACGCAGCCAATAGCACCAGCACTGAGACCATGATCTTCCAAAACCAACTCTCCTGGGCCAACCACATCCTTAGGATGCCTGAGTTCCGAGTACAAAGCAACTCATCTTTGCCCAACTCAAGGAAGACACTTGAATGAGAGGAGGACCAAGGAAGAGTTTCAAAGACTCTCAAAAGGCTTCTCTGAAGAAATATATCATAGAGGTCAACACATGGGAGACCCTTGTTCAGAAGAAACTGACTTGGAGGAAACTCCACTATGAGGCACAATTCTTTGAGAACACCTGTTGGCAAGAGGAAGTACGGAAAAAGAATCTGAGGAAGCAATGTCGAAGATATCAAGGTGAAGGACAATTTCATCTCCAGAAATATCTACCAAATGTGTGGTCAGAGATGCAGCTCTAGGATTAGGTTCATCAGCCACACAAGGACACAGAGAATCCAGGACCAGGGATATGGAATTTCTTAAGTGGACAATCATACTCATAAATGAGTGATTGCAGATGATGAGTTGTCAAAGAGTCTTTCAGAGTGTTCACCTGTGGTTACTTACTGTAATTCAGCAGTTATTGCTGTAAAAAGGGGATGTGGTTTCTACAACGTGCAATTCTGATGTTGCCTGCATGGTTGACTCGACTACATGGGTGATTTGTTGATGGAAAAACAATTAGCTGTGTATAACAGCACTGCTGGATATTAAAAAAAAGCGTAACTCGTAGAATCATAGAAATTCACTGCACGGAAGGAGGTCATTAGACCCATCGTGTCTGTCCCAGTTCTCTAAAGAGCTACCCAGCGAGGCCAACTCTCCAGTCCTATTTCTGTGGCCCCCTAAATTTGTCACTTTCAAAACAAGGGACCAAACTAATAAACGTCTAAGCTATTATCTGGAATTAGAACAATATCCACGTTTAATCTGAAAACAGGCACATTCATTACACAAAGGTCTTACTCTGTCAAGATGGAAATAGCAAGAACTGCCTATGCTGGAGTCAGAGACAACACAGTGTGGAGCTGGAGGAACACAGCAGACCAGGCAGCATCAGAGGAGCAGGAAGGCTGGCGGTTCGGTTCGGAGCCCTTCTTCAGAAAGGGTCATTTCTGAAGAAGTGTCCCGACCCGAAATGTCAACTTTCCTGTTCCTCTGATGCTGCCTGGCCTGCTGTGTTCCTCCAGCTCCAAACTGTGTTGTCTCTGTTTACTCTGTCAAGATGATATTTTAGAAAGTGCAAAAGAAAATCACCCTTCCTGACCAATGTCTAAAAGTAAACATAGAATTTGATGAATTTCCACAGACCACTGCGTTCCTTGTTGAAGAAATAGAATTGCTGATAGCTATAGGCCAATGGAAGATCTTCCAAACAAAGCTTCAAGCTGGATAGAAATCGAGCTGAATCTAAATTTTTGGATAATGGTTACAGTTCAGCTTCTCAGTGTTTACAAGGCAGTCAAAAATACTGAAATGTGGAAACTTTATCAGATTCCAAGGTGCTTCAGCCAAGAAAGGGAGAAAGATTTGCAAACTTATTGAACTTTGCAAGTTTTCTTCCTTTTCACTCCTCAGTTTTTTGAAACAGAAGCCAAGTCCAGACTTAAGCAAACATGTGCATATGAGCCTGATTTTTTGTTTTCACTTTTAATGCGTGGAAAACCTATCTTCTACCTCCCCAAAAGCATTGTTTGGTCATTTCCCAGTCATTTGACTTTCTTTTACACAGCCCACATTATACAGTTAACCTAATTTCCTCATTTACGTGGGTTCCTTTCAAAACCATTGTGAAAATGCTTTTTCATCCTAACCCTAACCGTAACCCTAACCCAATCAAAACAGTGTAATATCTTCAAGTTTTTCACCTTCCATAAATTGTCCAAAAATATAAAATGAATTCCCGACAGTACCACACTACAATATACCAACCAATATTCTCAAATAGCTAATATTCAAGGTTTAATTTGAAGCCTCTGTGTAGTATTCCTCTGAAATGTGAACAAAATGATGCAATGAGTTTCCCAATGTATTATTATACATATTGTAAATATATCTGCTCATGAGTACGTGTCCAAACACCTGAACCAGTAAACAAGAGCTGAGTTAACATCTCAGACAAATGCCACAGTTCAGCAAAAGCGTTGAATCTTTGGCAATCAGCCTGGTGGTCAGTGGTGGAACTGGAAGTGAGCAACACTTTCACTCAGGAGTGGAATAGCTGGCCACATGGCCATGTGGTGGCCAGACAATTAAGTTTGCATGAGGGCGCATTTCCATGAATCATATGACAAGGGAGTGCAAGAAGTTATTGCAACTGCCATTATCTCAGGGACAAAAGTCTGACCACCACATTTAAAAGACACACAGATAGAAATTCACTCCCTACAAGCAAGGAGCATCATTCTGGGTCATGGCCAAATCTTTTCTCCCTTCCCCATCCTCCCTGTCTTGGTATTCAAGATGTCTCAGAGAATTCAAGTGTTCCCACAGTTCAGTGTTGCCTAACGCCAGGTTTTACTCCAGGCTGTCCAAAAAAGGCAGAAGTTCCCATTTCCTAAGGATGGTCACAGGAGGTTACAGGAGGCCCTTCTGACAGACCAGGGC